AAACTATTTCTACAGCTGGGGAGAGGATATAACGTTATGGTATGAAAATCTGGTTGAAAGCTAGCTGGAACTATGGAAAAGGCACTGCTATTCAAAACTGTACCTCCACCCAGTGGGGTATACCTTTCCAGAATGATGCCAAAGCAGGAGGACAGCAGAAACAGTCTTTGCTCCTGTGCCCCGATTTAACTGGATACCAGTGGGAAGGAGTTCTACTGACTTACTTCAAAATTGCCAACTTCTTAGGGAACAAAGGTGGTAGCAAAATCAGATCTAGAGGTAATGTCAAGTATTAATAGCACTTTCTATATTAAGCTTGGCCACATTCGACTTTGTTTTTCTGGTCCCAGGTGTCTGATCCTAGAAACTATGTGCTTGGAGATCTGTTTTGAGGTGGTACATGCCAGTAAATGGCAAATTTTCTCATTAACATCCCCTCTCCTATAGTCTTCCACATGCCTCAATACTTTCGCTTCTTCAGTAGCAATTTGTCAGCCTAAAGGTGTGAGCACAGTCACTCAGGCTTTACTGTGAACCGTTTGAAGAGTCTCTCCAGGAACAAAGGAAACACAGCTAGCTATACATCCTTATAAAAAGAGAGAAACAAATGTGGGAGAGAAGCATTACATTCCCTTTTCTCTGAAAAGGTAAAGTGGTATGAAATAAAAAGAAAACCCTACTCAGTAGAGCCTATTTTCTCTTGAAGTTACAAAATCAAATTGAAATGGACCAGTGTCTCCTTGAGATGTATAAATTCTTTTCTCTGGTTTCCCTAGGAGGATGCCCCCAGAAATTAGGGTTTAAGATGTACACTTGCTTGAGATCTGAAGTCTACAGAGACAGATTAAACCAGGCCTGGATTTATCTTTGCTAGACTGGAGTTATTCAGGATTCTTGTAAAGGGATAGGCATTTCCAGCAAAGGGATGCATTCGAAAGCAGATTTCTAAATCTGGACCTAGTCAATTAAACACAACTCTGTAAGTGCTAACTGTGATGTCATGTGGCTAGAAATAGCTTCCACATTTAGAATTCTGAGCCTGTCTCTCTGTTTTGAAGGTATTATTGTTACTTTCAGTGCATTCAGACGCTTTAGAACTCACTTGGTTGAAGTTCTTCATTCTTCAAATGGAGAAACATATAAACAATAAGAATCCAGAGCCAGGACTCGCAATGGTACCATTTACTAAACCTGTGCTTTCTTATTACAACACAGTTTCTTGACAGTAAAACTCTTTAATCAAGCAAAATTTTCTGAGGTGTTACATTCTTTATAGTGAATACCGCTGATTCAGTTAAATTTGAATCATTCAGTAAAATGATGTCATGAAAGAAACTAATTTTAAAGTAAAAACACACTGGACAGTGTTCAACACAATTTTGTAAAAGTCCCCTAGCTTCATCTAGGAGGAGCAACATTCCTAACTCTTGATAGATGGTCCACTATCTACTGTATGTCTTCATTTTCTCTTTTTCTTAATGCTATAGACCACTGAATCACTTCTTAAATTGGCCTAATAATTCTATCTCTGTCTAAAACAGTGGTTCGACGTCATCTACTAATTTCAATGGCTTTTATATAATCTATCAGCTACATGTTTCCGAGATGGCTTCTGGCTACATTAGTAACACAGACCCTGCCAGAAGTACCCTGATTGATTTTACTCACTCACATGCATTCAGATCTGCAAGACTGGAGAACAGAGTGTTTTCCAAATCTGCATATTAGCTCTGTGCTATAATGACTGATGTCAGTTCCAGCTTTGCCAAACATCTCTCATCACTACAAGCTCTACCCCATTCCAGACTCTTGGGTTTTCTCTCTCTTTCTGGAGCAAGCTCCCTTCCACATATTTGCTGTATGGATTCAACAATATGACAATCATTTTTGTTCCTTAAAGTGCCACTGCTGCAATGGATAAAAATAACTTGTTACTGTTGTCATGGCCTGGTTGGAGGAGACAGTAAGAAAAGATGAGAAATTACAGTCCGATTCTGGATACATTTATCTCCCCATGTTTATCCAAACCCATACTATTCTCTTGCCCTGAGTCTCCAACTCTTAATCCCAGTTTGATGTGACAAATGGTAAAATCAGAAGAAAGTTTCAAACTCTGTGCTGCACCCTGGCTTTTAACTTGCTTTAGTCAGGAGCTCTGGAAGGCACTGCCAGTTTCTACGTACTTTGCTTTCTTTACTGAATTAGAAAAATAGGTACTTTATTGCACAAAATAGTTCATGGCATGCCTTCTGTAAGCTTCTGGGACAGTTGAGGGAATGTAAGACTCAGCCATGCAAGTAAATACACATTTAATACTAAGGTAAGATGGACCAACAAGGAAAAAAATAAGTTATTCTAAAGCAGAGCATCAAGAAAGAAAGAATGCTCTCCCTTTTATTTAATGTTTTCCTTATGTTTCCTCTGAATGGTGCTTGTTCCTTGACAAGCTTTTCCTGTCCACTGCGTCTAACACTTCTTTTCTGGGATGGCTCAAGAACCTTAGCTGCTCACTGGATTTGTTTATTTACTTACACTACCATTCCTGTTCTCCTCCTAAGGAACATATGTCTGCATAGCACACGGTGAGAAGTGGGTGTCTCTCTGAATGCTTATTTCCTTGAACTTTTTCACCAAATTGCTTTTTTATATGCCTTTTGCAGTCTCACCCCATCCTGCTCAAGTATCCTGGATTAGAAGGGCTGTCTCTGGAGTCCTTTTCAAAGGCAGCCTCCCATAGCTTTTAAATCCCCCACATTTTATGATGCAGATATTCTGGATCTGGGGTATTAAGCAAGAAAGAACAAAAAGCTGATGGGGACAGACACAGACGAATACAGTGGCTTCTTTGCCAGAGAATCACTATTGGAATCAAATGGGCATCTGTAACTATACTAGTTGAGAGTGATAAACTTTATCATTTATCAGTAGATGTTATACAACAGATGAAGAATGCCTGTTCCCTCTCTCTCTCTCTCTCTCTCTCTCTCTCTCTCTCTCTGTGTGTGTGTGTGTGTGTGTGTGTGTGTGTGTGTGTGTGTGTGTGTGTCATGCAGCTCCTACTACTTGTGGGATATCCAGAAAACAGTTTTACCACAGAAAAGTAAATGTGAATTCTTAAAAACAAGTTAAAAAAATCATACTCTTGACAGGGCTACTGCTTGTCTCATATATCAGACTTACAGGATATTGTGCCTGCTTTCAAATTTCCAATACAAGTAGGCAAAATAATAGACATTTAATAAAGATTTAGCAGAAAAGGGCCAGCCTCCCAGATTTTGTGTTTTGAAGCTTTGCAAAGAATGCCTGTTCCAAGTTCCCTGACTTTTGTATCCAGGCCATTGGATCTCCTCAGTCCCAATTTGGTGGCATATAACAAACAGGCAGGTAAAAGATTCCAGAGATCTGTAAGATCTTTGAAAGATCACAAAATGGGACAAGTAGGGGCTATGACCTTGGCTTCTCCTCTAATTTCGGAACAGATAGATTAAAGGCAATCCTTCAGATCTCACTTGTTTTCTAAGTGGTCTGCTTGCAATTCAGTGTTCGATAAAGTTTCGACACTGCAGAAAAACCCTTCCGAATACTATTAGGTAAGTACTCTTGGGGCAGGTTTACTTTAAAAATGCCTTGAGGTTTGTGACCTTCAACAAAATACTTCAGTAACTGCAAAAAAGCTCATGGGTTTGTGCTACTGCGGAAGATGTTGGATGCCCAACAGTGGATAACACCTCAGGGCCTGGTCTCCTCCCTGGTGGTATTTTGGCTTGGGAGTCTGCTTTTCCCCTGCTAGTGCTGTGAGCTCTCCACCCCCACTCCACTTGCTCTGGAAACAGAAGCAAGAAATGGACCTTTTTGAACTCCCCCCAAATGGGGACAGTCTTTCCACATAGTATTCCCAGTCTCCCAGATGAGAAACCAAAATGTACAACAGATCTTCTCAAGAACATTAGGAGACAAGAAGCTAGCGCCTAACAGGCGACTGAGTACAGGGGGAAGTGCCTGAGGGAAGGAGGGATCTTCCAGAGCCACAGCAAAGACTGGCTTGGAAGAAAGCCTCTGCACAATAGCTTTTCCATCCAGAAGGTCCCCAAAGCACACACCTCTGGGTTCTCCCCTTGAGATCAGGTAAAGCACCTTCAAGATGAAGGGTAAAGCCCACCTTAATCCCCTGGGACCACCCGCCCAGCATCCAACCCCAGGTACTTTCATTGCAGAGGGGGGGGGGGGGAGCAACAGAGAGAAACAGAGAGGCTAAGGAAAGCTTGAAAAGGAATCTGTAGCCAGAAATCCCAGGAAACCAGGGACGAGAGGAAGAGGGGCGGGTTGCCCAGGACCAGTTGCTGGAGTGAGGCGGGGTCTCTGGAAAGCCAAGGGAGGCAGTCACCAGGATGTGCTGCGCACACCCTGAGGCCGAGGACAACAGAAGCATTGGGGCCTGGGGTACTTGGGACAGTTGGATCAGAAGCCTCAGCACACCCAGTCCCAGTGTGGCCACCTCACCCAGTCCG